CTTAACTATCTTTCAAAGTAATGGATAACGCGTAGAGATCCACGCGTTACCGCGCAACCTGAAGTCATTACCTTCACTGGAACACATAAAGAGCTTGTGATGAATAGAAAAAAGGTGAGAGCTTGACAGATCTCCTAACACGGGAACCCGGACCACCAAAGTCACATTTATCACATGATAATACATTATATGTCACGACATTCATCGCCTTTAAATACAACTCTCGATCCTCTGTCTTCACAAAAGCATTGGCTTTGCTCTCACGTGCAAAGGTAAGTATCCTTTCATTACAAATACATATTTATGCAATTTGCAGAAGAAAATGAAAGTCCTGCTTCGCCACAGTCTCTTTAAAGTCTAGATTGAGTGAATATCGCGAATACGCCGCTTTTAGCGAGATTTCAGCAATATCTAAGTGGAGGACACCAGAAATGGGCTTCATACAGTGTAACCATTTGGGAATCTAACCCGGGCCTTCGGCGTGACGAGCGAACCTTTAACTACAGGCTAGGCTATCCCACTGCTCCCTAAGTCTAGATGTGTAGTACCTTGTGTACATTTGATACATTTTGAGGCAATTGTTAGTAAACGAGAATATGGGTTTTCAGTCATCTTGTTTGGCTACAACCATCTCACTCATAGTCCTCCTTTTACCAATCCAGGTGTTCTGGTTCCATTTAAATAAGGAAAGGTGCATTTACAAATTAATAATCTTTAGAAAATACATGTTCATCGAAAGCGTTAGGTAGTCATACGCTGTAGCGTTAATCCGACATTTATCGGGGTTATCTGTTAATTCGACCGCCTCCGTGGTCTAGTGGAAGAGCGTCCGCACGAAGAGCGAAAGGTCCGGGGTTCGATCCCCGGCCACGTCATTCAAAAAGACGTTAAAAGATGGTACTTGTTGTTACCCTGTCTGGCGCTCGGCATTAAGGGGCTAAAAGAAGGACTGGTCGGTTCGGAGTCAGTATACTGTGTCTGAGTGGGGTATTCGTGTTAAACTGCGGCATGGTATCTCAGTGAGCTAGTAGTATAAATCGGGATCAGTCCGGACTGGTACAAGCAGCCACACACACACACACACACACACACACGTGCATGCACGACGCTATAGAAGTGCGTTAATCTTGGACGCGACGTTAAACCCCATTTCACCTCACCTCATCTGTCTGTTTATTCATATTAAATTATTAACAGTTAATACTCGACTATGATTGCAATGATTTGTTTGTAGTGAATTTGCTAACTACATGACTTCACCAAGTGAATATACAAAACACTATTTTTCAACGACGGGACTGACAGAAACCAAACTTGCCACCCACTGAACATCAAACTTTCACCTCAAGCCAAATTATTTTCAACTTTTCCGAAGCCGGAGTTTTGGATCCGAAAAGGAAGCTTGAGGCAGTTATTGCAGAACATTATAATTATTTGGGCCCTTGGTGGTACAATCAATATTACTATATCCTATTTCTGTAAATAAAAGGTGTTTTTTGTTTAACTATGTATGTTGGCTAACTGTGATTGCAATATATCAAGGATTGGTTGATGACCTAGGGTTACATGTAACAGCAGATATAACTGGGCTCGGGTGGCCAAATCGTCTAAGGCGCCGCAATTCGCTGTACAGAGTTGCGTCCCTTGGGCACGCCAGAAACCTATGATTGTAGGTTCGAATCCCGGTTCGCCCCGATTATGTTTCTAGGTTTGTCAGCACCATACCCGTGGGTTTCACCGAAATGGTAAACGTCTGAGACCAACATCACTTCGGGCTTTCCTCCCACATTTAGCTGACACGCCGTGATATAACTGGAATCCTGTTAAAAGGGCCGTTTAACCCAACTCACACAGCCTATATTAATGATGTCGAATGTATATACTCGTCTACAATTATTGTTTGCTTGATGTAACGGTTGTCTGTGCAGTTTACTGACTGGTGTGTACAGTCCATATGCGAAGCATAATCAAGACCTAATTATAAATGTTAATCGTACGTTACCAAGGTTGAATACGTATTTGCACATATCACAAACGCCGTAGATCCCCGACCCGTACATCTCGTCTTCCGGGCGTTAGAATCTGGAATTATTATTTTTTCAGATCGATGCCGAATAGTCAGATTTAGAGAAGGTTTAATAAAAATATTAATCTACTTCATAGAACAGTACATCTTACTAAACAGAATTTAATAAAACTTTCATTGTCAAACTTATCTTCAACACATGACACGTTTCCCTTGAACAAATATACTTGTACATCCACGCACAAACATAGTACACCCGACATCCTACCTACCCACAATAAAACCTGTTTAGCACGGTATGAGGGCTTGGGTAAAACCTCTTGCCTAGGAACTCCCTTCACTGTTGACACTGACACATACCTACGTCTGACATATTTTGCGCCCCAAAGACTCTGTAAGGAGCCATACAGTAATGGCTTCATAAAAGCAAGATTTATTTGCCAACGTGACTCGCCGGCGATCATGTTTGTATGTTTAAACAGAGTTTGGATTGTTGTGTGATGTTATTAAAAACAAAACTATTATAGCCGAGAAATCAGTGATCTGTATAAGTATCATCAATGGTCGGTGTTGTTCCTTGCGTTCCGTTATATCCGTACAAATGCGTGGCCGATGGAACCTTATCAAATATGTGTTAACACAAATAATGCATTCTGTAAACACGCATTTCATGTTTATTACAGGAGGTGCGTATTTAATCCTCTGTCAACATTGTACTTACACGGGGACGGTGTTGGTTTCACTGTCGGGGGTGTATACTATAGTAATACATTTCAATGCATGCGTTTGCTGTTGGGTGGTAAGACATGTCCTTGCGTTAGTCAGTGCTGAGAACATATACCGAGCTTGTGATTGACACTGATTTCTATGATTAAGTGATATTTCAATGTATGATGCTAACATGTTAGGACAGTAGCTGTCAGCGGCTCAGGGCACACAGTTGGGTGAGTGAGTTGAGTAATACAACGCTTTTAGTAATATTCCACCCGGGGTGGGAGATCAAGATGGGCTTCACACATTGTTGGTTGGTTGGTTGGTTTGTTGTTTAACGCCGCACTCTACAATATTTCAGCTATATGACGGCGATCTGTAAATAATCGAGTCTGGATCAGACAATCTAGTGATTGATATCATGAGCATCGATCCACATAATTAGAACAGATGACATGCATCAACCAGGTCAGGGAGCCTGACCACCTGCTCCCGTTAGTCGCCTCTTACGACAAGCATAATCGATGATTTTTACGGCAAGCATGGGTTGCTGAAGACCTATTGTACCCCAGATCTTCACGGGTCGCTTCACATATTGTCCCCATGTTTTGTTTGTTTGTTGCTTAACGCCACACTCGGCAATATTCTAGTTATATGACGGCGGCCTGTCAGTAATCAAGTCTGGACCAGACACCCCAGTGATTGACATCATGAGCATCGATCCACGCAATTAGGATCGATGACATGCATCAACCTAGTCAGCGAGCCTGACCACCCGATCCCGTTAGTCGCCTCTTGCGACAAGCATAGTCGCCTCTTACGGCAAGCATGAGTTGCTCTACCCGGATCTTCAGGGGTCTGTACCCATGTAGGGAATCGAACACAATAACAGCGTGATGTGCAGCGCTTTAACCACTAGGCTACTTCACCGTGCCCTAGTTAAAACAAGCCGTAATGCATACACTGCATATCTGAATATTGCATTGACAAGTTTCAGTGTAAATCCGGTGCCCGGTTTCCAATACCCAGCAACAGTTTGACACATTCTGGATGAATAAATGAGTCAGTCAGTTGGTTGATCATCATTAACGGTCCATGCTTCTAGCTTATAGTCAAAACGTAAAGATCCAACTTTACATTGTCCTGTAATAAAATGTCAGTTCAGGTTGTATTCATTATTTCAGTAATTAAACAAATCCCTTCGGTGGAGTAGTAGAATACCGTGACGTGAAGCATATGATGTGTCATTAAACATCCATGCAAGATGAATAACAAACAATAGCTATATCCGCTTGCACTAAGTGTTCCTGTACGCGTCTCCATTCCCACGGCCAGTTGGTGGAACATGAATTGGAAATGCAGCTAACTGGTGTACGCTGTAGACACAGCAGCTACTCTTGCATACATCACCAACAGTATTAGGAGTTTGACTGACACTGCATTGTTGTCGGGGCATTCGTTTAGTGACAGATACACGTGTCTTGTGTTACGTATGTTTTGTGCCCTGTCGTAGCACTCATAACAGATGCGTGAGATTTGCATTCCATAGCCCTGAGACTTCTTTGACACTGAGTATATCATTTCTGGGCGAGGCAAACAGAGGTTAAAATCAAGTTGGGGACAATATGTTTTCCTACACCAATCAATACGCAGTCGGACTTGTTCAACTGTTTTCATGAGCTATTTTGTCATTTCCCCCAAAATTGCGTCAAAAACCTAATGTTTTATTACAAAGTTAACAACAGTAAACATTTTATCACAAAGACTTAGATATTACGCAAATGTTAGTGATCTGAATAGGTTCTCCGTGCTGGTATAAATATTTATTCTATTTCATTCTTGAAGGAGAACCCTAACCTTGCGTGTGAGAAGCGACTACTCCGAACCCTAAACTAAATAGGGGCGGTCGGGTAGCCTAGTGCTTAAAGCGTTTGGTCGTCACGCCGAAGACCCGGGTTCGATTCCCGACATGGGTACAATGTGTGAAGCCCATTTCTGGTGTCCCCCGCCGTGATATTGCTGGAATATTGCTAAAAGCGGCGTAAATCCATACTCACTCACTCACCTAAACTAAATACTTCACCTCTCGATCATTATGTGGCTATAAAAGGTTATGGAAATTCAAATACAAAATAGTATTTGTACACCGAATTCTGGTCACTTCATGGTTAACCCACCCACATAACGCATCTAAACGGCTGTCTATGTTTCTCATTCATCCTCTTCTTCAATCATTTAGGAAATATCAAAACATGATTCTTACCTGCAACATGTCCGAAAGAGAAGACCCGCAATGAAAACTTTCCTTCTAAATTAACAGTGTCCAGCAAGGCCTGGATCCCCTGCACGTCCTCGTCTGACGGCCTGCCCAGTACTGTGTCCGCACTGACCACTAGCGGCACTGAATATTAATAACCCGGAACGACAGCGCACTACCCCATGACGAGGTTCAGTTAAAACGTTCTCCAACACACTCTGATATCCGCGACTCGGCCCAGGTGCTTTGCCACCAACAGCTTAAGACAACAAAGACCGCCAGACTATCAAAGATCAATAGACCGCACAAGACTTGGCCGGTCCGCATACAGAAGTCTACGGTACCGTTACACGATCCAGTTTATAATTGAGTGGGGTACAGCCAGGTATTGATTCCCTGGATGTGTACAAATGTATACAATATTCATGCTCGGTCTATGTGGCCAGTTGATAAAGCTAATAGGCTGTGATAACAGATTTACCCGTTGTTGTAAGCGAACGCGAACCCATGGGGTTAATGCCAGTCAACGAGGTGACCTATCCGCAGCACTTGTTGGTACAGGATTAATTGATTTGTGAATGATGTGAGTAAGTCGGGCTAGGGTTTTTGAATCGTGTTTAACAAACGTCAACTCTGCTTCCCGTATCTGTATTATCCTAGGAACCAAGTAAGTCTGTCTCCCAGACCTTAGAGAATATATTCAAAAAGGAAACTCAAGCCTAGAGCCAAGTATGAACAACCGCTAAGGTTTGAGGTTATGGGGGAGTGTCTCGGGGTTCGAATCAACGCCCACACGACCAGGTCCCAGCTGTGTGTGGAGGAATCCGCTGATGGCTGTTTCCTATGTGGGCAACATCTAACATAACTTTTGTTGTATCTCACTACAAACTGTGCTTGACTGTCCTGACGTGGTCGATACGTACTATTTAAATGTATTGTCCTTTATTACGACAAGACGTATTAATAGTAAAAAGGTTGGGTTTCTTTCTATATAAATTTACCAAGTAAATGCCATGTCGATAGATGCATTAGCACAAGTTAAATAATATAATGTGTACTATACTGAAGAAAAAAACGAAACCAAAATACTTATTCTGAGCAAAATTAATTAATATTGTCCCCAAACGAGCATTGCCAGTTGCTGTGGTCCAATACTAGCGTGCACATTAACTTTCTTCTGTCTTAGGGGCCTTGTTGTCAAAGTTTTCGCTCGTCACGCTTTAGGCCCGGTTCGATTCCCCACATGGGTACGATATGTGAAGCCCATTTCTGGTGTCCTCCGCCGTGATATTGCTGGAATATTGCAAAAAGCGACGTAAAATCATACTCACTCACTCTCTGCTTGACCTTTTATACTTTTTTTTTTCCTCGATATTTACTGCAAGATTCACTATTTCACTTACAACATCAAATATAAAAAAATCCTCACCACGACTCTGTGTAGTTTCCCTGCAGACTGACCCAGTCGCTGTCAGTGGTGGAAGGTTAGAGCAGGGCGTCGGGTGTTGCGTTAGGGGTAAGGGGACAGAGGAGAGGCGTAGAGTGAGGGGGAGGAGGGGGGGCACATTCAGGAAGTACTCCATTAATTACACGGGTGCAGGCAAACATGCATAGCCCTAGCAATTGTTTGAAAACCTTGCTCTTTTGTATCGAACACAAAATATTTGCATAAATTGTCAGCAAATGGTGAGTGACACGTATCGCCAAATGTCAGCGTTTACCTTTTCTCCTTAAAGTAAAATATTTGTACAATTAGGTTTGCGACCGTTCAGGTCGGTTTTGTATTGGATGAGACACACTGCATTGAAGCAAGTCCGCTGTTTGGGTGCAGGTGGCGCGGTGGTCATGCGCACATTCAGTTGTAGCGTCTGCTCGACACACTGGCTTATTTACCAGTGCATGTTTATTATTTTCCACACAATATTTAGAGGAACTCTTTCACCGGTCTGGTCTATGTATGGCTTCAACATGTATAGCGTCTAGTCATTTCCCAAAGAGGCCTTTCAAGGCTTCTACTTGCCACGTCCATGTGACATTACATCACGTTGTGGAAGCCACTTCTGCATGACGGTATCAGATTTACGTTCTTGTGAAATTAATAATCACCTAGAAATTATATGTTATAAGGGTTGTTCGAACACCTGGTTATAATGATAGACATATAAAACCAGGAGCCTGAAACCCGTTTCATATGTCGGGATACAGTAAAAGTTGTACCAGGATCGAGAGGGGTTCACGGGGTTCTATGTCCCTTGTTAGGTTTTATACCACTCGACTTGTGGTATAAAACCTAACGCGGGACGCATAAAATCCCATGTACCCCGAGTGATCCTGCTGCAACGAATTTATCTTACCGACATGTTTTAATATGACATTGTAAAAGAATTCAAAGAAATTTATAAAAAAAATAGCTGTTCGATTGAGTTGAGGTTAACGTTTGCTATGTCACGTGACTTTCACTGACTCGGATAAAGTGTGCGGCCTTTTGCTTCGAAGCGCGACTAAAGGGATTTATTCTGCCTCTCAGAAATCCACGTGCGTCCCGACTTGTCCGTGGCGGGGTATAAATTCCTCCAAGGCGGGGTATAATTTCCTCCAAGGCGGGATACATATTATTATATCAATGTCACGTGGACAATCAGATCTAATCATGCTGACAGGAGGTATGACAATGACAGTTATTACAGCGGCTATGAATATGCAGCTTCACCAAGACACCGTAGACAGACAGAAATACAGAGACAGATGTGTTTAATTGTGTCACACTCGCAGGTACATAGTCTGGACCAGACAATCCAGTGATTGACATCATGAGCATTGATCTACTCAATTGGGATACTATGACATGCACCAACCAAGTCAGCGAGCCTGACAACCCGATCCCGTTAGTTGCCTCTTACAACAAGCATGGGTTGCTGAAGACAAACTCTCTAAACGTTTCCTCACGGGTCTTAAGTGACAGTACTACAAATTTTGACTATTTGCAAAATTTTGGGCGTACATCTTGTCAATTTATACACTGATCAATACGCAGGAAGGTTTTGAAGGGAATGTTTCTTGATAGTGCAGTGGGTTCTTGTGGTCACCAAGATGTCCTCCCTTAAACGTTTAGTCCCAGGTATAGGGAGATTAGAAACAAATCTTTCTTTATAGCAAAGGCTTCAACCCTAGATAATGGTATGCCCATCCATTTTTCCCAAAATAAATGAAATATGTTTAAATCAGCTGATTTCTTCAACCGAACGCCCCAAACCCATTCCATCCCACCCTGATACCACCCCACCCACCACAACACAATACACCTTAGTACATTGCATGTCAGTTACATATGGAATGTTGTTACCAAGGCCACCAGATCGCCAACACGACAAGTCTAACAAATCATTACAGAAAATCTACACAAATTCAGTATTGTGCTGACATAACTTCCAACTGCAAGCAATCATATGTTTGGCACTTTAAATCTTACAATCGGTATGCATGTGAATATATTATCATGGCAAATGTATGACTACTATCAGCAGCATCGTCTCGTGTGTGCTAGTCTGACGATTGCCCCGATACCTAACACCAGGCCTAGTAGAGCAGGATATAGGCCCACAGCACGCTATCTCGCTCTCTTGTGTCCGGATAGTTTTGGATGTTGCTAACTGGAATCAATATTAAATACAGCCTTATCTCTACCTCTGAATAACGAAGTACTTCTGGCCCGGAGTGAGTGTTAAATGAATCAACTATTATCTCCACATCGTCAAATTGCCCTTTCAGATATAACAGAAATATATTTTTTCCCTCAGTTTAAAAAAAATGTTCGTTGGTCATGAAGGGAGTTCTGAAAACGAAACAAAATTATATTGAAGCAGTGATAAAAAAAACACATTTCGGCTCTAACAACATCCTAGTCTGTACCCGTACGCCCGTACGCCCGTACGCCCCTCGCCCCACGCCCCACGCACCACGCACCACGCCTATCTCTTCCCCCAGAATAATAAACGGTTCATTTGGGAGATAGTCTGACTATGTATCGCCTTCATTTTGATCCACCCGTGAAGATCCGGGTTACAATATGTCCTCAGCAACCCATGCTTGCCGTAAACGGTGACTATGCTTGTCATAAGATGCGACTAACGGGATCGGGTGGTCAAGCTCGCTGACTTGGTTGATGATGTCATAGTATCCCAATTGCGTAGATCGATGCTCATGATGTCAATCACTGGATTGTCTGGTCCAGACTCGATTATTTACAGACGCCCGTCAATTAGTTGGAATATTGTTGAGTGGGGCGTTAAACAACAAACAAACATTTTGATCCGATGTCAATCAAGGCGTGAATACCTAATTTCGAGGCACAAGGACGCAATCCATTTGAGTTCATTATCGAAAGTTGACTTGCGACGAATATGGCGGTAGATTAATATGCAATGTATTAGGGTTTTGTTGAAGTAGGAAAGGTCTTACTGGTGATCCTTGTTTGTTTCAATACACTATAACAATGCAATCATACTTCTTTTACCAAACCAACTACAATCAACACGGAAAGGTATTTTACGATAACGGCGTCCAATCTTTCCGTAACAGGCGGTTCAGGTCTATGCAGATCACAAGGATTAATCAATGGTCAGAGAGTACACGTGCCACAGTTACATAACAGTTCCCAAAATATTTGACACCTGAAAAATCATTTTATCAGCACGAAGTTAACTAGATTATTGCTGTGGCCAGCAACGGCTAGCCTTTACGGGGACTACAGCCGGGATATCGTGCCCGTAAAAACTTAATTAAGATTTTTTTTTTATATGACGAATGGTTGATATGGATTTTTAGAGTTAATAAGTTCTACCAATTGCATCGAAACCACTAAGCAGGCCTGAAATCACGTGATCTCTCGTCCTCTCGAGATCTCAGCGTGGGGCGCTTTGGTTGTCTGGTAGGGAGCCGCCATCTTGACATGAGGGGTTTGAGTTACACTAGGTTTGACAAATTATCAATCAATAGGTTTACGGAGCAACTCAATAGTTTCAACGATTGTTCGGTAAACATTATTTACGAGTGCGACTTCGTGTGAGAAGGGTAAAGTCATGAGGCATGGACAGCGAGGAGGGGAGTGAGCACACAGATCGAACAAGTAGTACTCGTAAGGTTAGGTTAGGAGAGTCCATACTAAATGTACATCGATCATCATCGGTAAGCATAATGTTGACGTAACTTTGACGTGTCCGAATAAAGAGAAAATGATGTACTACAGCAGAACTGGACTTAATTCTAGAAAAAAGTTGTTAAATTATCTTAATAAAATAATAATAAAAACGAGCCCAGAG